TCTCCTTCTCCTTCTCCTTCTCCTTCTCCTTCTCCTTCTCCTTCTCTCCCTCCAGCAATCTGCAGGAATTCTTGTGGTGACGGGTTTTGTTCGCGGCCGAACATGTGCACGTGCTCCAATGGACAACTTTCTCCCAACTGTGGCTCAGCTGGAGGTAAGAGAACATCCTGGGGACCCTCCTCCCTCTGAGCAGTCGTGCTCTCTTAAAGAAAAGACATTTCTCTGGGCACCTCAAATATTGGGGTGTTTTGGCAGCTCCTTCCCAACCTGACCCGGGCAGAGGTCACAAAATATTCCGGTTTTTGAGGTTGTTTTCCCCAAGGGTCCTCATTTCCCCTGAATTCCTGGAGGGAAATCGTCACCTGCTGGTGAATTCTGCTCCTCTGGGATGAAAAATCCTCTGGGATGCAGCTCAGGAACCACATCCCAGAGCAGCAAAGAGGGATTTTGCCAAGGAGTCCATCCAGCCCTGGCTGCTCTTGGAAGTGGAATCAAATCAGTCCCTGCTTTTGGGAACCAAAGAAATATCGTTGATTTATTTTTTTTTCCAATGGAAAAACGATGAAGTTTTTCCCAGGCCGTGGTTTGGATGGGCAGGGATTGCCCAGGGTTTTAAAGCAAACTGCAGTGACACAATGGAATTACTGCTGGAACTGGGAATGCAGCATTCCCGCTTTTCCTGAGACCTCTGGGACAAACACCTGGAAAATTCCAGGAAGAGGGCTGGCTGGCTTGGGTTTCTGAAGAGCAGAATGACAGGCAGGCAGGAAGCAATTCCCAAATCCCTCTGGGAATCCCTGCATGATGCTTCCAACACCAACCTGCAGCACAGGGCTCTGCATGGAAAACTTTCCATGTGGAGTCCAAATCCTGAGAGTTCATAGGTTTGGTTTTTTTTGGTGGAAAGGAATTATTGCTCCTCTGTGCCCTTTTCCCACTGGAAAGGACCTGGGAGTTCTGCTGGAGGCTGGAGACCAGCCAGGAGTCCCAAACCAGAGGCTGATGGCCACGAGTTGCCACTTGGGATGTTCCCAGTTGGGATTTTGCAGGCATGGAGAAGGTTTTTTCTAGGCTGGAGGGTGATGCAGTGCTGGGACAGGGACCTGTTCACGTGGCACAAGGCCTAAAGCTCTTCCCAAAAGGGCTCCAGGTGTTTCTAAAAGCCAGGATAATGCACTGATGAGGATTTTCCTGCACTAAATGTGGGCAACAACACTGGGTGATTTATCTCTGTCATTTTTTATATATGTCATTTATATACTCAGTCCACCCATAAGTGACAACACTCCTCGATCCCAACACAGCCAAAAAAAAACCCTGCCAGCAAAAAAACCTCAGAGTTGTTTTAAGAAGGGTGATTTTGTGTAAAATCCAGAAATTAATGGGATTTTATCGAGTCTTTTGAGGCCTCTGATGGAAAGAGACAACCCAGAGGTGAATTATTTCCATTATTGCTCAGCTGGAGACAAGCCTTTGTTAATATATTGTTAATAAAGTGACTTGCAGGCTGCTGGAAGCTCAGAGAACTGCCCCCCACCTTCCAAAAGCCTCAAACCCACACTCAGGATGCAACTGGAAGGAGGAAATTCCCAGGATCTGCTCCCAGAGATCCCTGGAAATACCCCTCAGGAAGCACCAGAGCCCGTGGGTGCACAGAGCTCCGGGAAGGGGAAGGTGCTGGAGCCACAGAAGTTGGGGAATCTGGAGTGAGGGTCCATGTGGAAGCAATCAGGGAGGAATGCAAGGAATGCTGTGAGCAGTGTGTACATTTGGGCATTCCCGGGAGCCTGGGGTGGATTTCCAAGGGGTTGGGTGGGTTCCTCTGCAGGGGCTCCAATCTGGGATTCATTGAGGGCATGTTTGGGGCTGCATTTCTCAGGAATTCTTCAGGGGGGGTAAAGCAGGCGAGCTGTGCATTCCAGAGGCAAGGAAAGCCGCTCTGCCTGTGCTGTGTCATCCCAAAAAGCTGAATTTCCTACTTTGGGGAGCAAAGATATTTTAGGAGTCGTTTGCAAGTGGCTGTTTAGACGTGGGGGGTGTGAGCAGAGAGAAAACCTGCCTGCAAACTCCTCTGGCAGAGCAGCAGCAACCACTGAGCCTTCAAAATCAGTTGGAGAACGAATCCAGCCCCATCCAACCATGGGAAAAGTTAACCAGGGAGAGCTGTTGTTCTCCTCTTCCTACAACTTTGCTCTCTGCTGCCCTGGAAAATCCCGACGAAGCACAACAGGCCTTGAAATTCCCGGTTGAAAGATGGATCTTCTGCTTTCCAGATCTGCAGAGGGGGTTGAACAGGGCCAACCTTGGACAACTCAAGGCTGGACAGGGCTTGGAGCAAGCTGGGATAGTGGGAGGTGTCCCTGCCCGTGGCAGGGGGTGGAACTGGATGGGCCTTAAGGTCCCTTCCAACCCAACCCATTGTGGGAGTCTGTGATAAATCAGATGGTGATGGGACCTCAGGGCTTTCGGGATCGTGGCAGGGGTAAGAAATGGGAGCTGGGACAGCCTTTGCCAGTTAGCTGGAAAGTTTCTGGATGAGCATCAGGGCTCTTCTCATATCCAGGCCCCAAATTTCTTGCACCTCGCGTTGAACGCGAGGCTCGGGATGCGTAAGGAAGAGTCCTGACAGATGGACAGCTCTGACAGACAGACACTTCCGAGCTCCCTGTGTCTCTGGGCAGGCCTCCCAGATTTCTGGCTCTAATTGCTTTCCCAGGGCTGACTGATGGAGGTGAGGGCTGGAAGGGGAAGCATGTGCCGGAATCGGGGCCTTTTCCCAGAGAGACCGACCTCGTGTCTGACAACCCCGGGCCGTGCTTTGAAGCCTCCAGCTCAGTTTTCCTTAAGGATTAAGCTTCCATCTCAATTTGGCCGGATCCCTGGCCCCGGGGGGAGCAGTAGGAAGACGAGGAGACATCGTGACTAATTCAAACCACCCCAGCGCCGCCGGGATTAAACGCGCGGCACACGCGGCGAGCGCGGAGCCCCCGAGCCTTCCCATCCCATCCCATCCCATCCCATCCCATCCCATCCCATCCCATCCCATCCCGCCTTCCAGAATCCCTCTGAACCGCTTCATTATCCCTGTGGGACACTCCTGAGTCCTGCTGCCTCTCGGACAGGCAGCTCTTGCCTGCTTGGAAGTGGTGTTGGATGCACGGAGGAGACGCGTCCCCTCTCCAGCCTCCCGGAGCTGCCAAGGCACAGCCCCTCCTCTCCCTGGCAGACACGAGCTGTGTTCTCTACAGGCCTTTTTATTTTAATATTTTATTTTTTTTTAACGTGAAAAACAGGTTTCACATGACTTGCTCCAACTTCAGGCCCTTGCAGTCGGAGTTGTCACATCTTACAAAAGGAGGAATGTGTCGTTCCAGGGCCGTTTGTAACCAAATATTTAGCAGGAAAACTCAGTTTTTTTGGGGCTCTTCTTCTCCTCCAACGATGAAACACTTCAAGCCCAATCCTGGCTTTGTGTCTGCAGCAGGATAAAACTTCCCAGCTTATTTATTGCTATTGTTTTCCTACAGTGCATTAGTCACATCCAGTGGGTCATAATCTGGTGTGAAAGCTGAACTCTCACATGGAAGAATAGATGGGACGTGCTTTTCTCTGCAGATTTCTGTAAAAAAACCCTCTTGTAGCCAAGGAATGTCACCAACAAGGCCATGTAGAAACTGTAAAAGGATGATAAATGTCTTCAAAGTTTCCTCCACCAAAGAAATTCTGTCCCCCCCCAAACATCTCACGAGGCTTTAAGATGGAGGAATTTTAAAGGCCAGGCAGATTTTAGGATGTGAAAAGGGTTTAAAGGGAAGCAGTAATGTGAAATAATGATAAAAAAGGGTATGGAGATCTTGGAAAAGTGGAGTATCTGAAAGAAAAATTTGTTCAAAGAAAGAGAGTTCTCAGAGAAAATGAGATGTCAGGAATTCTGCCCTCACTCACAGTCTCCTGGGCTGTGGTGGGATGTCCTGGAGGAAGGATGAAGCTGGAGATGTTTGATTGGGGTGGATTCCTTAAGGAATGGGTGGGTGCCTTTGGTTTCTGTGGAATGAGGCTGAGGTTGGATCTCAGGGAAAGGTTCTTCCTCCCCAGAGGGTGGTTGGGCACTGCCCGGGCTCCCCAGGGTTTGGTCACAGCCCCAAGGCTGCCAGAGCTCCAGGAGGGTTTGGGCAGGAGGGGATTGTTGGGGTGTCCTGATGATCCCTGGGGGTCCCTTCCCACTCAGGATATTCCAGGATTCTACAGAAATCCTGCTGCATTGTTGCTGTGGATGTTTCTGTGTTCATAGGGGACAAATTAAGCCCCAACTCCTGAAATAAAGAGGGGCAGGGGATGGAGAAGAACAAAGGAAAACCCTGGGGAACATGTCCAGAACTCTTGGACAACGCTCTGAGGGACAGGAGGGGATTGTTGGGGTGTCCTGGGCAGGGCCAGGAGCTGGACTGGATGATCCTTGTGGGAATATCCCAAGATATTCCATGATTTTACTCAGCGTGTTTCAATTGGCCGCTTCCAACCCGACTTCCCCGAAGCTTTGCCCGTCCATCCCACGGGAGCGGTTCGTATCCCGGGATTTTGGAGGGGTGGGATCCCTGTGTGATGTTTTCCCCTGCTCTTCCTTCCCCCCCAGTCCAAACGTGCAACGTGAGGTGCATGAACGGGGGGAGCTGCTCCGAGGAGTCGTGTCTGTGCCAGAAGGGATACACCGGCACCTACTGCGGGCAGCGTGAGTGCGGGAATGCCACGGGAATGCCATGGGAAGGGCACGGGCACCCAGGGATCTGGGAATGACACGGGAAGGGCACGGGCACCCGGGGATCTGGGAATGACACGGGAAGGGCACGGGCACCCGGGGATCTGGGAATGACACGGGAAGGGCACGGGCATCCGGGGATCTGGGAATGACACGGGAAGGGCTTGGGCACCCAGGCTTGGGCACCCAGGGATCTGGGAATGCCACGAGAAGGGCACGGAGGGCATGGGCATCCAGGGATCTGGGAATGGGTAGGGAGGGCACAGGCACCCAGGGATCCGGGAATGCCATGGGAAGGGCTTGGGCACCCAGGGATCTGGGAATGCTGCAGGAAGGGCATGGAGGACACGGGCACCCAGGGATCTGGGAATGGGTAGGGAGGGCACAGGCACCCAGGGATCTGGGAATGCCACAAGAAGGGCAGGGAGGGCACAGGCATCCAGGGATCCCTGTGGGCAGAGGGCACCTGGCACTCACTGAGGAGCTGTGGGATGGCAGCTCCGTGTTCTCCTCCCCTCTGGAATCTCATCCTTATCCCCTTAGCAAGTATAGATTTATATCTGCCTATATATATGATATAAATTCACTACAAGTGTAAATATATTGGATATAATTTCGTTATAAATTTCTATTAGATATAAATTCACTATAAATATATATTAGATAAAAATTCATTATAAATATATATTATATATACATTCATTATAAATATAAATTAGATATAAATTCACTGAAAGTATAAAAATAGAAATATATATTTAATATAAATATATGTGTATTAGTTAAAATTCCTCTCTAAATAGCATTTTTTTGGGAATGGGCTCTTTGATGTCAGTTCTCTCCTCTGGAATCTCATCCTTATTCCCTTAGCAAGTACAAATATATCTGTCTATATATCTCTATTTATTTGATATAAATTCACTGTAAGTCTAAATATACTAGATATAATTTCAAGATAAATATATATTAGGTGCAAATTCACTGTAAGTATAAAAATATGAAAATTTATACAATATATAATATAATTATATGTGTCTATTAGTTAAAATTCCTCTGGAAACAACCAAATAATTTAGATGTTTACTTTAATAATACCACAATAATGTAATAATATAATATTAATTATAATATATTAATATAATAAATATAATAATAAATATAATTACTATAATATATTAATATAATAAATTTTATACTTTAAACCATATATTTATATTATAATAATGATGAATTAATATTATTATTTATACAATATAAAATTCTTTCTTATATAATTATTTATTACATTTAGCAATACTTTTATTGTATTTATTTATAACATCATTATTTGCAGTATTTATTTCTTATTAATTATCATTGATTATTATTAATAAATTAATATATCAAGAAATATATATTAATTAATAGATATACTAAATTTATATATTATTTTTTATAATATAAAATTCTTTTAATAGAATTGTTTATTACAATAAACAACACTTGAATTATATTTATTTATAACATAATTATTTGTAGTAGTTATTTATTAATATCATCATTAATTATTAATAAATTAATGTATTAATAAATATATTAATTAATAAATATACTAAATATTATCTATTATTAATAATATATTATTTAGTAATACATTTTAATAAACATTTCTTTTAACGAGCAACCACCAGCAATGACTTTGAGAGAATTTCTGATCAATCAAAACTTTCCAGGCAAATTCCCAATCCGTGGAATCAATGTGGGAACCCCCCAGAGTTCTCAGGGAAGCCAAGGAGGACTTTTAAAAACTGGACAACCCCCTCCCATTCCCCCTAAAATTCCCCTCAGCTCCCACTGATTCATCAGTGCCGCAGCTTTCCTGAAAGTCCAAGCGGAGCCAGAGGCACCAGCTGGAAAACTTCATCCCAAACAGCCAAAAACTTGGGAAAATTCTGAGTAACAGCAACCCCCGGGGTTGGAAGGGAGCGTGCAGGGAGCCCTGGGTTACGTGCAGCTCCCAGCTCCACCTGGAATGTCCTTGGGAGAGGGTTCAGATGCTGGCAGGACATCGCCGGGAGGGTGGGAACGACGGAGACTCCCACTGGCAGCATCCCAAAGGAGCACATTCCGGCTGCCTCGGCTCTGGGATGGGTTCGGCTCCGGGAGGAGGCTCTACCTGGGCTCTGAGCTGGGCACAAAGCAGACATTACATTGGATTATTGACATCAGGGGATGTGTGTTGAGGTCTGTGTGTTCAGGATGCTCAATTTATGGGAATCTCTGCTCGGATGGCCCGGCCCGAAACGACAAATTCGGGTCCAAAGTGTTTTGTGGTTACGGGATGGGAAGTTCCCGCTCTCTGTGGTGTCTCTGGATCCTCCTCTCCACTGAGGCTTGTCCTGTGCAGGGCCAGGAGTTGGACTCCCTGATCCTTGTGGGTCGCTTCCAACTCTGGATATTCCATAATTCCAGGATTCCAATCACCAACCTCCTCCTTTGACTCCCGCACCGTCCACCGCAGTTTTTGGCAGGTCCCATTTTAAGCCAACGAATATTTAAAAAGTCCACGTGCTGCTCAGGCTGGTCCTTCCCTGCTCTGGGGACGTGGGATTAAATTCCTGACCCCCCTCCTGTTCCTCACATTCCCACACTGTCATTCCTTAAACATTTTCCCGTCTGCCTTTTCTCGTTCGCCTCAATCCATCCCTGACCTTGACATTTAAATCCCAGCGCTGACCCCAACAAACTGAGATTCCAGAGCTCAGGAAATCCTCTGAGGGTTTTATAGCCTTGTCATAAACGGGCTCGTTCAAGAACAGGATGCAATTTTCCAAGGAAAAAAAAAACCAAAACAACCAAAAAAACCAAAACCCCTCCGACTTTTCCCAGCGTGGAGGAGGCTCCGGGTGGGCGAATGAGGTGGAGGTGACACTGCAAGTGTTGGCAGCACGGCTGAACCTCAGCTCTGTGGGTTCACCAGGAGCAAAAAAAAAAAAAAAAAATCATGGATTTCTCCTTGTTTTTTCCCCCCTCCAGCTGTCTGTGAGAACGGCTGCCAGAACGGCGGGAGATGCATCGGGCCCAACCGCTGCGCCTGCGTCTACGGATTCACCGGCCCCCAGTGCGAGAGAGGTAAGGGACATCAGATTAAATTAGAACACCACGAGATGTGTGTCGAAGTCTGTGTGTTCAAGATGCTCCATTTATGGGAGTCTCTGCTCGGATGGCACGGCCCGAAATGATAAATTTGGGTCCAAAGCGTTTCGTGGTTGAGGGATGAGAAGTCCCCGCTCCCTGTGGTGTCTCTGGATCCTCCTCTCCGCAGTTTGTTTTGTTGCTGAGGACAAGAAGGGTGTTGTACCATCATTGCTGAGGACAAAAAGGGTGTTTTCCTCTTGGGCATGTCCCTCTTTTTTTGTCTGGTGACCTGGGAGAGGCTTAGAAATGCCAGGAAGCTCCTCCTGAAGAGAAGGGGACACCACCCGTCCCTTCCTGATCACTGAGAGGGAAAGAACAGAAACCAAAATGTTTAAACGTGTCAGGGGGGGAAATCAGGTTTAGATATTGGGAAGGAATTCCTGGCTATGAGGACGGTGAGGCCCTGGCACAGGCTGCCCAGAGAAATTGTGGATGTCTCTTCCCTGGAAGTGTCCAAGGCCAGGTTGGAGTAACCTGGGATGGTGGGAAGTGTCCCTGCCCATGGCAGGGAGCGGGACTGGATGAGATTTAAAGTCCCTCCCAACCCAAACCATTCTGGGATTCCCTGATTTTATGATGGGATGACCCCACTGGGCAGCCAAACACCCAATCCTACATCTCTCTCAGCCCCATTTCCCTTGGGATTGGTAGAAGGCAGATGGAAATCAGGCAGGGACATGGATGGGGATGGCATCCCCATTTCAACAAGGAGAGCAAAAGCTGGGTGTGGGAGCACAGGAAAATAAGGAATTGATTCACTCCATCCCATCAGTTTTGGAATGACATCCAGCCACTTCCTGGGAAACAGCACCTGTAATGATGGCTTGGGAAGACAAAACCTCAAGGCAAGGAGGAGGAAGGGGGGGGATATAAGATCTTGTACCCCCTTCTCCATCTTTCCCTGAGGATTTATTGTGAGCCTGACAGGCTGTGGCACCCCAAGAAGGGCTCAGAGCAGCTCTGGCAGAGCAGGGACGTTGGAGGAGTCAGGGACCACCCAGAGTCCGGGAGCACATGGAAAATGCTGCTGTGAGGCTTGGCCAGCTGGCACAGGAATTCCAGCAGGCAGTGGCAGCTCCCTGGGAGAGCTCCGAGCTCCCCCCCTCAGCAGCACCATTTCTGCAGCCTCCTGCCTCTCCTATTACACAGAATCCAATAAGAACTCAATTTATTGCCTGATTTTGACGTGTCTTGGGTGCCTCTGGAGACAGATGCTTTTGGGTGAAGGAGGTCAGCCCTCAAAAATGAAAACTAATGACATCACCAACACCAACAGCTGATAATTTTCAAACGACCGCGGACCTCAAACCCCAAAAGTCAACATGAATTTAATAAAAAGCCAAGAGCCAGTACTCTTGTACTAAGAAACAACACCTTGGCAAAGTTATTTTGATGGCTCAGGACCACGTTTACTCGCGAAAAGCTTGAAAGCCGTGACCAGAACATCGAGTTTTTCCATGAAAGAACCTTGTTTTAGTTAAAAACGCCACGGAGGGGAGCACGAGCCAGCTCTGGTTCGTTGTAAACCTCCCGTGGTTCGGTGCCAGCGGGAAGCAGCTCCAGTGGGAAGCAGCTCCAGTGGGAAGCAGCTCCAGTGGGAAGCAGTTTTCCCTCGTAGGTATGCGTGGCTTTGCCGAGGGGCTGGATCACATTCACGTTTGGGCACTGTGGGTACAAAACCACTTGAATCACAGCATCACGGAATCAGCCGGGTTGGAAGGGACCTCTGAGATCATCAAGTCCAACCCTTGATCCAACCCCGCTGTGGTTCCCAGCCCATGGCACTGATGCCACATCCAGTCTGTCCTTAAAAACCTCCAGGGATGGAGAATCC